CAACCCCCCCCCCCGCAACAAAGATTAAAGAACTGCTACTGTCTGAGCTCCACTATGCAGTGGAGGCTCATCATATATGAATGGGGCTGTAAAGATACGAGCAGAACCATCGACAACATCTTACATCTGAAAAACCTACTGCTTAGCGCTTTGTTTGTTCGATCAAACCGTTTTCATGCTAATTCAGATATCGAGGGTACACTCCTGGACTTCTTGCATTAAGGAGAGGATTTGTATTCTTGAATGGTATAGGAAACACGTAACCCTTTTCCGCTGCGTTACGTCACATATATGTTTGTGCTGAAAGCATAAAGAAGCATCTTCCTGTATAACGATCATAGAAACTGAAATACTCGGGCAATCAGTCAGTTTCGATAACAGCTTCTTTCGGGTCGCGGAGGCAAATACGTCGATCAGTGTCTTCAACATTCTAGATCTTTAGCCAGCTCCTCAGCTACGGCAAAAAATAACTCGAGTTTTGAGCAGAACTTGACCGTCCGTGGGACTTCAGCCGCTTAGTTGTGCAAGTAATAGCTCGTTTGTAGTACCTTTCTGACAGCATTCGCCATACTTTTCCAAACCATGGCAGCTGTGGCTTCTCTTGAAAGAGTGGCCGTACACCATGGTTCTCTTGGATGTTTGAACTCCGGGCTGTATGAGCCCAACGATTCGTCTCAGAATGCCCATTTCATCCGCTTGTATCCGGGATCAAAACTATTCAGTTTATATCTCAAGACTCATTACTACAAGTGAACATGTGAATTAAAATTCACTTGATCACAGGCAGCTTCGTATTCAGAGTCATCGAATACTGAAATAGACAATGCTGACATACTAAACACTGAAATGTGAGCATTCGACCTCTGACGGCAGATGAATCTAATCAAATATGACATTCTTATGCGTGATCAATATAATTCGATGATTCTCAAATAAAAATGGTCTCTGGCGAGTCAAGGAGTTAACAAACTTTGTATCTTTGATACGACACTTAGGATAAAGCTGGCTCATGGAAAAATGAATAATAATTCTGTTAACTCCTCGATGAACAAGTACTCTAGATCTTTGAATCAGAGATCAGCCGTTGGTAACCTGTACTTTCAGGAATTCATTATCAAAAGAGCTAATGAAGTTTTCTGATTCGATAGTTCAGTGCACAAAGAAACTTGTCAAAATATGATTTGAAAGACAACATTTCGGACCGTAGCTCCATCGTCCATCATCAGAGAATCCATTGGACGAAACAGCTTTGACTCTAAATTGTTTTCGTACCTAAAACCCGAATCGGAAGGTTTCTCATTCGAAGTCTGTTATTAATACCGGCTTTATTCAATTAAAATTAAATTTGATTTCTGAACCATTTGGTTAAACCAGGGATCTGCAACCGCGGTCTTAACAGAGAACGGGAAAGTAGCAGGATTAAATGCAGTGTCGGCTTCGTCTTTATGTTCTTTCGCCCTTCACTCACTGGTGACAAATTCAGCCTTAAGGCAACGTCGGCACGATGGTGAAGGAGAAATGACGAAGGCCTACGGCGCATATCCGCACCACTCGGATTTCGACGAGGATAATCACAGCTATGGATATGAACGGAGACGACAAAGAAAACGACCAATCGGCCGCAGATAAAACATGTATGTAGAAAAGTCGGTCGATTCGATGACAAACCAAAGTGACATTGACATTGCACTTTTGCCCATTGAGCTGTGAGATCGTATATATCGCACTCTGTCACACACAGAGTGAAAAGGAAATATTTAACAAAGGCCTATAGAGGCAAGGGTCGATGAGTATACGTGGTGAGAATCCGAAGAAATAACGTTTGCATTACTATAGCAGGCTGTACCTAAACTAACATCTATTAATGAACGAAAAATATGATCGGTATTTCCGAGAAATACGATAACGATAAATATGTACATTTTGGGGTGCAATGAAAGGGTCAGTCACGCATGAATAAGCAACTTCGGTGATAGACCTCGCTAAGTTCAAAACGCTGCAAATCAAATCTATATAAATAAGACAACGTGATTTATTCACACGTTTGACACTCAAAAAACAAATGACTTATACCCCAGAAATGAAGATATCATACATCACACAAAAAGTCATAAATACATAATGCAATCTCATGTTCACTTCTCCATTAACAACACAAGTGTCATAAGCAGAAACGTCAAAATACTATATACGTAGTTTCGCTTATGAAAACTGTGCTATATATAAAGAATGTGTTAGACATGTGCTATATAGCATATAATGTTAAACGCTTACCATTTGCCGAAGAATAAAGACCGTTGTAGTTGGAACCAGCTGACTGTTGTTGCTGCTGCTGCTGGCCACTAACCGCTGATCCTCGACCGGGTGCCCCGCCGTACGGAAAGTTATTTGCACTGTTCTGGGAGAAATAATTGACCGTGGAACTGGACCTGAAGAAGGAAAAAACACATGATAGGGGAAAACCATCGCGGGTCGCAAGGACGCCTCAGAAATGATGACTTGGACACGAAGCCTACCTGCCGAGGGAACCCTGCTGCTGCAGAGTCGCTGGCGACTCTACGCCGTTCAGAAGTGAACTAGGAAAAATATTCCTCGATACACCTCCGCCCGAACTTCCTCCGCCTCCGGAACTCGCCTGCTGCTGCTGCTGGATAAGCTGAGCAGGGAAATAGTTGGCGAAGCTGGACGACGACGCGGACTGATGAACACAGGGGTTCGGGGTCACCGAGCGACTCTGCGGGTTGTAGAAGCTGGACCGCTGCTGACTGCCACCACTGCCGCCACCGCTGTTCGTCGCACCACTACAGCCAATGCCAAATGGGGAGAACGGCGACAGATAGTTGCTGCCATAGCTGTTTAGCTGTGAGGGACCGGAGGCGGCAACCTTGAAAGTAAACCTCACATTAACAGACGCCTGATGCCGAGATGCCCGCCCGACCCCGCCATGGGGCCGAACGAACCTATCACTGTAGCAACACTCACATCTCGACCATAAACGGATTGAAAGTTGGACATTAGCGCATGGACCGTCTTGCCTGAGAGTTGTACACCGCTAAAACAAGCTCAACTTGCAACGTAACAACGCCCCGAAGATACTTTAAAATCACTGGCATACAGAACGACAGCATAAATCTGTGAGTTGCTAAGATCTTCGCGGTTTCATCATCGTCGTGGTCTTTTCTGTGAATCTTTCCCAGATTTACGGATGAATATATGGTTAAACAATGGTTATTCTGTTCGGCGACGATTTCTCCACTCGCAGTACAGTATCTCTACAACACGAATGCAATATGTAGCTACTTGCATGCACGCCACTGGTCACGTTTGACGTACGGCACTTGGTACAAACAGCTACGTACAACTTGTAACATTTGATAATCACGGTCAATAATTATTCTGGTCGGATAAACTTTGTCACTTAATCATTCCAGTTTCAGATTATCTTACAAGGAAATAGCGGCTAAAGCTTGGTTTTCGTACTGTAAAACCGATATAATGCACCGATAATGCTTGCCTGTATGGTCGGTTTCCTTCCATCAGGTCTGCCACTCAGTGGCTTCAATCGAACGGTCTCGTTACATTCCTTGCAATGATGCAAATAAAAGTTACAGAAGCAGATTTTTCGGCGAATGCAATTAAATTTGTCAGTCGCAAATGTGACAACGGGAAAATGCTGCTTGTCACCAGCACTATATATTTGGCTAAACCAAATTTTTGCAAACACCAACAGCAAGGTTGACACTTTCTGCTAATTATGATATTACATATTCAGTTATAATAACGAACATCAGCCGTAATTTGATTTCGCATCATATAGCAAGCTGTACTTCTTGGCTTTTCACATAAGACTATATAAGAACATAATGCTCACTGTTGTTCACAAGTCAGTGGCCTGTCAACCATTTCTTGGTTACTTGCAGTGAAACAGCGTCTGGTTAATTTATTGCATACCTAAATTAGAGGTTAAGAGAATGTTTTTCTACTTTGGGATCAGAATCTGAGTAGTTCAAAATTCCAAGCCGAAATCTTGCCACTATATCACTTCTATTCTCTCAGTGTTTTCGAAAACTATTAGCGCCAAACTGTCTCCATGCCATACAATACTGACTTAGCAGAGGCAAGATGCTGGCGGATTTTTGCCGGAAGAATAACTCTTTTCTCAGCCAAAATATTGAACAGGTTTTTCTTCATCCACTTTTAAATCATCGATGCTGGATGCATTTCTTGTATGTTTCGAACTTTGGGGTTGAGAAAAAGGTCAGTTTTCGCAGCTGTGCTGGATACAAAAGCCGTTAGGTTATACAAACCGCTTCCGGTACTGCTCGCCATAACAATATCGCTTGCGTACTTCAGGTTAGCAAGATGTTTGATCGGATGTCTTGAAGCGCGCCTTCCATCTAAAGTGGGACATATGGCTTTGTCAGAGTCAGCACTGTTTCAGGAAAGAAAGTCGAGAACAATGTTCAGTAGCAAAGGAGTAAGTACATTACTCTGGCAAGCTCCATACTTAATATAGAACCATTCAGATAGCCCTTCCTTGACTTTCACAGCAAACATGGTTCGTTTACTCATCCCTTTCAAAGTAGAATATGTGTGTTCGGGTATCTCATAGCATTTCAAGATTCCCAACATCGTCGGATTATGTCGTGAATCAAATGCAGCTCCAAAGTAGAGTAAACTGGCAAACCAAGGCAACTGAAATCGTGTGCATGGCTCAGTGATCCTAAGCAGAAAGAGGAGAACCCTTGTTGAAAATCTGCTTGATTTGGGAGATGCATATCTTCATTTATCTGTCTCAGACTTTCAAAGATAATCTAGGAAAAATGTTTTTCTGGAGTTGACATTGGTATGATGCCACGATAATTGGAACGCTCGGTCAACGGGCTCACTAAAAATATAGGAACTATTACTCCACACTTCCATTCTCCTGAGAAACGTTTCTATTTCAAGTTGATGAATCAGAGTATGATGCCTTTCCACCATTTCGGTTTCTCCATATTTAAAAATCTCCTTGGAATTCGATCCAACCTGCAAGCTTTCTTCACCTTGAAATGTAGCAACAACTTTTTTGCTTTGAAGTTTCGTAAGTAACCTGTACTAATTAATTGTGTTGGTAGAGAATTAACGGTCGAAAATGACAAAACTGGAAAAGAGACGTTGAGAAGCACCGGAAACGCTCAGCCCATGTTTTGACGCGCTCCGTCCGACCTGCAAATGAAGCATTCTCAGCGTTATGAATAAAGACAGAACGAGCCTCCTGTTTACCGGGCAACAGTCGCACCTTTGTCGCACTCTGAACATTGTTCGCGATTTACTCCTTCCTGCTGTCTTGTCGATTTTTCTAATTCCGCCCTTAGACAAAGTTCCGTATCATTTTTTGTATGCCGACTGCACCGATTCATCATATTTTATCCTGTCAACATGAGCAGCTGATGTGTTTCAACC